TTCTAAAAACATAAAAATATGTGCAGAAATGAGGCGATGTTACCACTGACAACAGAATCTTCTTTCTCACACAGAATCTCAGACTGAATATTGTCTTTTTGGGGTGTGTCCTTCCTTTTGTTATCTCCTTGTTATTCCCATAAAATATGTTCCTTCTCTATTAAAATGGGAAGTTTGGAGGGTCTTATAAAAGGGAAAGGAGGGGTATGTTATGATTTTTTATAGAACCCTCATTGCCTTTAAGTAGCAGTCAGAGTTTGTTTAAATAGAGACTTAAATATTAAAATATACTTTGATCAAATCTTAGGAACATACCTAATAGAAATGCACACATATCTGCATTAAATGACATGTACAGGGGCGCCTGGATGGCTCAGTGGGTTAAGCCTCTGCCTTCAGCTCAGGTCATGATCTCAAGGTCCTGGGATCGAGCCCTGCATCAGGCTCTCTGCTCAGCAGGGAGCCTGCTTCCTCCTCGCTCTCTGTCTGCCTTTCTGCCTACTTGTGATCTCTGTCAAATAAATAAATAAAATCTTTAAAAAAAATAAATGACATGTACCAAGATGTTCATCATGGTTTTCTTCACGATAGCCAAAACCAGACAGCAACACAAAGTGACCAGTAGGAGAATGGATTAAGAAATTGTGGCACAGTATGTGATAAATACTACAGAGCAAGGAAAAAGAATCAACTCCTAATCCACATAACAAATCAACTCCTAATCTCACAGAAATAATGTTGAGTGAAAGAAGTCAGACACAGCAGCATACATACTGTGTGATTCCCTTTATGGAGTGTTCATAAACAGGCAAATCCAATCTACGGCATTAAACTTGAGCACAGTGGTTTCCTTTTCCTAGTGGGGATAATAACAGAAGTGGAGACAGAAGGACTGCTTTGGGGCAGTGGTGATATTCTATTTCTCAGGCTGGTTAGAGACGGCATCAATAAATTCATTTGGCATCCCTGCCTCAACCTGCACGTTTGTGAAACATGCAGTTCCTACATGTAGACTGTACTGTAAAAAAAAAAAGCTTACTGTAAGTTAGAGAAAGAAATAAAAATTAAACTTTAATTTGAAGTCTGTTTTATTCTCAGGTGTGATATAAGTCTTGGCTGGGCAGAATGAGGTGCAGCTCATCTCGGTTCCGATGAGCGCAACAGTTAATCGAATACATAGAAACTGACGCGCAGTCATTAACACAGGTAATGGAGAAACCGACCAGCAGCATTTCGACAAAGACACCACGTCCTCCATACAGCCCTGGCTCCGTTTATGACTTGCTCCAGCCGGTAATCTGGGACAGCCCCACAATCTGTAAATTCATTCGCAAGGAAGAGCCAGGAAATGTGGGTACAGGGTCCAATTTAGCAAAGACCTTGTGTGCATTTACGATGGGCACAGAGCCTTTCTCACTGAGAACAGTAATTGTTAGTATGGGTTGTGAAAATGCCAGGTTGTGCTTAAGGTTTCTGGCCAAAGCTACATTAAAAAAAAAAAAAAGCAACAAAAATGTAAATGATGAAAAGACAGGAAACCTCACCTACTGAAGGCATCTGCTCTAGTGTCCTATGATGGAGGGTGGAGGAATTGAGAAGGTAGCCTTGCAGACTGCTACTTTAAAACCCATGCAAACCCTCCTGATCTGCCCACCGGATTCCAAGCTGCAGAGGCCCTCTGGCTTCCCACTTCACTTTTCCTGTGGGGAAGTATCCATTCAGCAAAGTTCAGATGGAGCCCCACCCCTGCAAGACTCTATGTATGCTCCAGGCTTTGTCAACAGATTCATACCTTTCCATCAGCCTCACGGTCGGTTCAGAGCTGGGCACACACAGCAGGCTGGGCCAGAGTTCTCCATGGGAACACCTCTCCCCAGCTAGGAAGACGGGCTCAGCATGCCAGCCAGGGGGCCGCCTGGGGCCACTTTCACGGCTGCATGGGAGACGCTTGTCTAGGAAAGGTCAGTTTGAGGCTGATGAGCACAGAGAAGCAAAGACAAGAAATAAGCCAGAGATGGGGACTGACCGGGAGCCTCGGCACACGGAGTTCTGTTTCTGAAGCTTCTCCTTCTTTTCCAGGAGTCACTCCAGGCTCTTCCCCCGCCATGCCACGCCAGGAAGAATACCCATTTTTGAATTAAGTTAGTTTGAATTGGTTTGCTGCCCCCTTGGCAACAAAAGTCCTAACAAATATACAAATAAATGTAGAATTTGCAGTAAAGTTTAAATTCTTTTTTTGTTTGTTTTGTTACAAGTCATCACTCAAGGTGAAGGCATAACAGAGCAGAACTGTGAATGCACAGCTGATGTTGGCAATCTGGAGGACCCAGCCGTAGCCCCTCAGCGCTGCCGTGTGGCCGTATCCAGCCCCGGGTGGAAGGTCGCTCAGTTTCTTCCTTTAACTCCAGATATCACCCACAAGACAACACAACCACTTCATTACCTTTTCTCTTCCCAATGCTTGCATCTCCTTGCCTCCCCAACACTTTCCCAGGCACATTAAAGAGGGAGTGCATTCCACCACTGTCAGCTCCGGAGGGCAGGGACTGTCTCCGTGTTATTGACTCGAATAGTGTCTGCCCAGCACCGCACATTTGCCTGCCCTGAGCTGCAGTGCCCGCGTGAACCTCCAAAGTGTTACCGGGTAATTTGAACAGTACCATGCTAAAACTGCTATATACATGTTCAAACAACGATTTTTCAACACTTCCTTTGATTCATCACGGAGAAACTGGCAGGAACATATACATCCCTTCATTACAGCATTTGCTGCCTGTATTACTGCTCCTTTCTATGCGTCTGTCCCACCACACATCCAGGCCTGTGAGTAAAAGATCGCATCATACTGAATATGTGCTCCCAGCAATTAGCATGGTTCTTGGTAGGTACAGGTGTCTGATGCCTCCCCACCGGGTACAAGCGGCTCTGATGCGTCCCCACCGGGTACAAGACCCTCGCTTTTTAAAGCGTAGTCCATGGACCAGGAGCGGGATCTCTGGGACAGAGGTTTGGAAAGGCAGGCTGGGCCCCACCGGGGAACTACTGATCTGTAGTTGAGAACTGGCCTGCAGGGGGAGGCAGGAGCTCCTGGATGGGAGGAAATGGGACAGGAGAAGTCAAGGGTTGATGAATCTTCAGGGCTGGGGTGAGAAATGACCATGAGCATTGGGGGAGGCAGGATGCCCAGAGGTTGATACCGCGGTAGGAAGGGTTCCGTGTTCTGCGGCCCATCTCTACTCATACAGGACCCATTCTGTGATCGTGGAGAAAGGCAGTCAGGAAAACCTTCACTGCCGAAAAGAAAAACCCCAACATCATGCCTTGTTTTCTCCCATCCTTAAGCTGGAGATCATTCTTAAACTTAAGGTCTCCTAGGTGCCCTAGGTTTTGTATCCAGAGGAGACATGAGCTCATAACAGCAGACGGCTATCAGTTTCTTAATCTTAGAACCTACTGATGCGTTAAAATGAAAAAATAAATTAACATTGCTCCTTCAGTACCTAAATGAATGGGTTTTGGCCAGCATCTGCAGGATGCTTCTGCAGGAACTCAGTAAATTATTTCCATTTCAATACACAGCTCAAGGAGCACTTAGTAAGTCCAGTGTGACGATAATGATGATTCACATAACAGCACCTTATATGCAGTTAAGCAGATGTTCCAGGGGAAGAGTAATAACGAACCAGATCTAAGACACACCGAAAGAAAGGAACCCCTTGGGGATCAGGATGCAGTGTGGTCAATGGCAATTCTAAAATAGCTGGCCAATCATTTTGCTGCGTTAAAGATCAACACCCCCCGCCCCCACTTGCTCACCCTGCATCCCTACTGCTAATCCCGGACGCCACCCTAAGCAGTTCTTTTGGCTATGGATGTGGCAGTTTAGGGAAAGTCTTGGAGAAGCAGGTCGCTAGAGACTGGGACTCCCCAGGGAGACCTCAGGAATGAAATAGGTCATCGGGTTCGCAGGCGGTGAGCCTCTGCCCCCGCCTCAGTGCAAGCCCCAGACCGCCAGCTGCGGTGGGACGCGGGTTCGCAGACAGGGAGCGGGAGGGTGCAGATCTCCGCCTCCAGAAGGGGTGGGGGGCTCTAGCTGCGCGCGGTCCGCCCTCGCCGGCCGGTGCGCCCCGACCCGTGGGGGCGCGCGCCGGCCTCCCGGGGCTCCCGGGCCGGCAGCCGGGCGCGCACGGGCGGGCGGGCGCGGGGGCGGGGGCGCGCGCGCGGGGGAGCGTGTGGGCCGGGTGGGCGGGCTGGCGGGCGCGCGGCGGGGAGAACCCGGCACGCGAGCCGAGCCCGCCGCTCACCTGCCGCCCGCAGCTCACCTGGCGCCGAGCGCTCGCCCCGCGCCCTCCCGCCCACTCCCGGGCGCGGCCGCCGCCCCTCGCCGCAGCGGGCCCCGGCGCGGACATGCGACACGAGTAGCCCGCGCGCTTCGGAAGCACCGGAGGACCCCCCTCGGCCTGGGCGCGGCAAGGTGACCCCCTCGATGACCCCCCCCGCCCCCGCGCGCCGCCTGTCCGGGCGCTGTGTCTGTCCCCTCACGTCCTCCGCCCGTCCCCGCCGGGGAAGCGGCGGCAGTGCATGCGCGTGTGTCTGTCTGTCTGTCTCCACACCCCCAGTGCACACACCTGCCTTTTGTGACCCTGGCCCGACTGCCCTGTGCACACGGGGGACGTCTGGGACCCCTCTTTGTTCTGGCTGGGGGAGTGTGTGTGTGTGAGTGTGTGCACGCGCGCGAGGGATTGTTTTGGAGTGGGGGGCGGTGTCGATGGAAATAGGCGATTTAAATATTCCATCGAGGATGGCGGCCCCCGGCTCGCGACTTGTCGCTGCGGCGCAGCAGCCCAGATGTCAAACAGTGGTTCGTTTCCAGCATGCAGGATGTGATTTTCAGATGTGCGTTCCCAGCACTTTAGCAAACAGACCGCCGCGGTTCCATGTGTGCCTGTCTCACTCACGCTCGTGTTTTCAAGTCCTATCCTGTGTTGTCCCCAGCGCCAAACGGCATTTGTGGTCGTGGGTTTGAAACCACGGAGACTTTGCCTTTTGTTTAATTCCATAACACTTTATAATTCATGAAGCTCGTGGCGTTTGATGGTAGTGTCTGAGTAGGGGCTGGCTTTCTGTTTGTGTGTTTTTTGCATGATCTTGGATTGTCACTCTGCTGTGTCTAAACATTAAAAAGCCTGTCTTTTCGTTGAAGAGGACGGGGGTTAAAATGAATGAAGACCTGAAGGTCAATTTAAGCGGGCTGCCTCGGGATTATTTAGATGCTGGCGCTTCGGAGAACCTCTCGGCGGCCGTCTCCTCCCAGGTTCCTGTTGTAGAGCCGGAGCCAGAGCTCGTTGTCAACCCCTGGGACATTGTCTTGTGTACCTCAGGAACCCTCATCTCCTGTGAAAATGCCATTGTGGTCCTTATCATCTTCCATAACCCCAGCCTGCGAGCACCCATGTTCCTGCTAATAGGCAGCCTGGCTCTTGCAGACTTGCTGGCCGGCATCGGACTCATCATCAATTTTGTTTTTGCCTACCTGCTTCAGTCAGAAGCCACCAAGCTGGTCACAATTGGACTCATTGTCGCCTCTTTCTCTGCCTCTGTCTGCAGCTTGCTGGCTATCACTGTTGACCGCTACCTCTCCCTGTATTACGCTCTGACATACCACTCGGAGAGGACGGTCACATTCACCTATGTCATGCTCATTATGCTCTGGGGGACCTCCATCTGCCTGGGACTGCTGCCTGTCATGGGCTGGAACTGCCTCAGAGACGAGTCCACCTGCAGCGTGGTCAGACCTCTCACCAAGAACAACGCGGCCATCCTCTCCGTCTCCTTCCTCTTCATGTTTGCGCTCATGCTTCAGCTGTACATCCAAATCTGCAAGATTGTGATGAGGCACGCCCACCAGATAGCCCTGCAGCATCACTTCCTGGCCACGTCCCACTACGTGACCACCCGGAAGGGGGTCTCCACCCTGGCCATCATTCTGGGGACCTTTGCTGCTTGCTGGATGCCTTTCACCCTCTATTCCTTGATAGCTGATTACACCTACCCCTCCATCTACACCTACGCCACCCTCCTGCCCGCCACCTACAACTCCATCATCAACCCTGTCATTTATGCTTTCAGAAACCAAGAGATCCAGAAAGCCCTCTGTCTTATTTGCTGCGGCTGCGTCCCCTCCAGCCTCTCACAGAGAGCGCGGTCACCCAGCGATGTGTAGCAGCGTTCCCCCTTAGGAGGACACCCTGCCCACTCCGTTCTGCATTTACCAAGCACTTCCACTGCCCGGCCAAATGGTTGAGACTGCTGTCCTTAAATTCTTTCTCTCGGATTCTCTCTTGAGCCACGGGAGCACTTAGCATTGTAGATGAGTCAAGTGAGTGAAGTGAAAATAATGTTGCCAGTGTTTTCAACCTTAAAAAAAGAGAAAAAAAATGACCGAGTTCTTTGCTCAAGATTATTTTGTTCTGTTTCGGGGTTTTATTTTCTGTTTACTTGGAGGAAGGTTTTTTGTTTTATACTTTACTCAGAGGATTTGGTCATGGGGAGGGGGGGAAAGAACGTATATGATATTGCCATGATGTTATAAAAAGTAAACTGATCCTAGAGAGTTTTTACTTGGACTTTAACATAAAATCGAGCTATTGAGAAAAAGGGAGGAGAAATGACTTTTTCCAGACTTTTTTTTTTTTAACGCCAAGGGAGATTTTCAACACTGCATGTACCTTACTGAATATAATCTCTTTCAAGCCTACACCAATAGTTTACGTGATTATGTTTGGAAGAGACCTGGTTTTATTAACATGAACTCAGTAATAAGTTCCAACACAGAAACCATGTACCCATTCTTATTCGTTCTTTCTTTGCTTTGAGCAATTACTGCTCACAAGAATTACTTTGATATTTCTATGAATGTTGTAATTTTCTGCATGGTTGCCTGTGTTAGCTCGACCACTAGTTTCAAATGTTGCCATGTAAATCCAGAATCAAAAGAGTCCATTTTCCATATAGGTTTTCAATGTGTCTCTAAAATGAATTATGACATTTGTTTGATCTGCGTATGAAGTTCAACTGATCAGACACACCAGTCTAGTCTCCACGCCACAGTCTGATTGTTTTCACGAAGCAAAAGAAAAAATTTAATAACAGCTCTTAAAAGTAGGTTACATTTATTTTAGTATATTCTGAAAAATAAATCGATGTGAAGCTATCACAAAATATGAAAAACATCACTTTCCTGTCTCTCTATATCTGAGAATGTATTACTCGTGATTCTTGATTGAGACAAATAGAATTAAATATTGTAGACCAAATATTTCTGGTTCATATTGTCTGTGGTGCAAAGTGCATTTGAAACAGGTGGTCTCTTATTTTAATGATTAAGTTTGTGAGTGCATAACCCGTGTATCTGACTGTGATATATGTTAGCTATATTATGTAAGTTCACAAGCAGAATGACCTTGTGGAAAGCTAACTTTGAATTCCTTTTTCCTCCTTTTCACCAAAAAACAACTTACATGCAATAAAAACTGTATTGCCGTTTTCAGAGAGCAAAGAGTTAGTCAAGAATTGACACTGAAGAATGAATTTTAAATATATTGCAAAGTCCTTGTGTCTGAGCATCATTTCTCTTAGTACGGACAGATGTTCTGTATGCAGAGACCTTCCCTCCACTTGCCGTGGACGTACAGTTCTGTCTGTACAACCAGTGGAAGAATTTCTGGACGGGACATCAACTAAGCCCATTCAGTTGGTGGCAAAACCAGTATTTCAGGGTCTGTGGGGGAATCATTTGTCATAATTTAACCTCATTGGTTTGTCCCAAATGTTATGCCGGTGGCGGTCTCAAGAGCATTCTGGCAACACGCATGCTGATGCCATCTCTCCAAAGCCCCTTTGTACGTAGCACAAGTGTGACTAAATACCATACTTAAATCTGGGTCTCCTCCCCTAGGTTACTTACGGGAGCAGGAGAGGGACTAAAATACTGCAGAAGTGGGAAAGGGTTTTTAATACATACCACCATACGACCAATCTAATCAACTTGATGCCTTTAAAAAATGTCTTTTAAACATTTGATGGAGTTGGTAGATTGGAAACGATGGGTCTGTTTGCTTTTAATGATATGAAACTTGATAGCATCTCCTTGTGAGCAATGACTAAGGTAAGTTGGTTTGGACATGGGCTGGGAAATATCCATACAGAGCTTGTAAAGCAATAAATACTGACTTTGTAGAAATGGTAGTTCATTTGCATATTTGCATAATAGTAAGAACTATAATCATTTTAATATGTACTGCTTTTCACCCTATGTTGTGTGCCAGGCCCCTTTATCTGCTTTGTTGCTGGATTCATAAGAACACGCTTTTACAGGTAAGAAAATGAAGGCAAAGAGAGGCTAAGAAATTTGTTCAAGGCCACAGAGCTCCAGAGTAGAGTCAGGATCCGAACCTGGGTTTTCCCAAGCCTAGGCTGTCCCCTTCCCTGCACAGGCTGCCTGCAATCCCTCCCCTGGAAAGGGGGGCTGAGGGAAATAACTTAGAACATGTTATTGTCACCCAGTTTTAGTTCTACAACGAAGACAAAGCTTCCTGTTTAAAATTACACGTGGTGTGACTGTCAACGTGGTTCTGGGTAACAGAAGTTTGTCTTCAACATGCTCTTCACCAAGCATTTCCCTGCTTTGGCGCCAAGGCCCAGGGGGCACAGTGCAATATTGTAGTGCCATAAGATGAGGGCACTCGTTATACAGATTTTTCCTTCATTTATTATTTTAGAATTTCATATTATATACGTAAAACAGTTTATAATGGTCTTACAAATACTAAAGGGTTGCCTTTGACCCTGGTTTTTTTTTTTTTTTAAGATTTTATTTATTTATTTGACAGAAAGAGCAAGAGAGAGCACAAGCAGTCAGAGCAGCAGAGGGAGAGGGAGAAGCAGACTCCCTGATAAGCAGGGAGCCCAACGCAGGGCTCCTTGGGATCATGACCTGAGCTGAAGACAGTCGCTTAACCAACTGAGCCATCCAGGCACCCCTTGACCCTGTTTTTAAAACACCTGATTTCAGCTAAGATCTTTTTCAATTCAACTATGACGTGTCCTTACCGTTTACTTTAAATTGTGAAGATTTGGGCATGTTTCTGTGGTTTCCTACAAAACTTCTTTGTTTCTGTGAAGTTAATTATTAGGAAATGTGTCTGTCTCAACATATACGTATACATTTCTGTCTGTGTATAAATGTATACATATATGAATGCATATATGTGTTCAATAACATTAACTTCGCAAAAAACTAGATGCATTATGGAAAACATTCATATCACCAATAGTCCTAAGCTACCAGATAATCTTTTACTCCGTATGATAAACATGTTTAGCTACCAAAGAGATTATGTTAACTAAGACAGTTCAATTACGTTAGCAGAATCCTTAGTCAAAGCTAATTATCCAGGCTGCGATTATCCAGGATTTTGTCTCCTTTCTCCTTTAACTTTTTACTTTATAGCAACAACCTTGTTCCTGCTGTTAAAAAGGGATGAATGAGTTGGAGTGGGGAGGCAGAGTACCTCTTTCCCTGGAAACCTAAATTAAAGAGCTAAGTTTAGGAAGGGGGGGAATCACTCACTTGACTTGACAAGGAGGAACGGTCTTAGATCCCTCCGGAATTTAAAGCAGGATTTAAACAAAAAGTTTAAAAGAGCAGATGAGAAATGAACATGTTTATTGCCAATGAAGTATCTGGGAGATTTTTCAAACTTTTTAAATTTTTATTTATTTATTTATTTTAAAAGAGAATTCTCATGTTTTATTATATTTATTATTCGTTCTCTCAAGATTAGAAAGTTTTTGTTCTTTTTTTAATTATTATTTTTTATTAACATATAATGTATTATTTACCCCAGGGGTACAGGTCTGTGAATTACCAGGATTACAAATTTCACAGCACTCACCATATCACATACCCTCCCCAATGTCCATCACCCAGCCACACTATCCCTACCTCCCCACACCCCCAGCACCCCTCAGTTTGTTTCGTGTGATTAAGAGTCTCTTACTGGACAAACCATAAAAGACTCAATCTCAGAAAACAGACTGAGGGTTGCTGGGGGGAGTGGGGACAGGAGAGGGTGGTGGGGATATGGACATTGGGGAGGGTATGTGCTATGATGAGTGCTATGAAATGTGTAAACCTGGCGAGTCACAGACCTGTACCCCTGGGGATAAAAACACATTATATGTTTATTAAAAATTTTAAAAAAAGTAAAACCTTAAATTCTAAAAAAAAAAAAAAAGAGTCTCTTACTGTTTGTCTCCCTCCCAATAACATCTTGTTTCATTTTTTCCCTTCCCTATCCCCTACAACCCCCTGTCCTGACTCTCAAATTCCTCATATCAGAGAGATCATATAATTGTCTTTCTCTGATTGACTTATTTCATTCAGCATATAGTTCTGATTGACTTATTTCACTCAGTTCTAGTTCCATCCACGTCGTCGCAAATGGCAAGATTTCATTTCTTTTGATGGCTGCATAGTATTCCATTGTATATATATACCACATCTTCTTTATCCATTCATCTGTTGATGGACATCTAGGTTCTTTCCATAGTTTGGCTATTGAGGACGTTGCTGCTATAAACATTCAGGTGCACATGCCCCTTCGGATTACTACATTTGTATCTTTAGGGTAAATACCCCATAGTGCGATTGCTGGGTCGTAGGGTAGCTCTTTTCAATTTTTGAGGAACCTCTATACTGTTTTCCAGAGTGGCTGCACCAACTTACATTCCCACCAAGAGTGTAGGAGGGTTCCTCTTTTTCCGCATCCTCTCCAATATCTGCCGTCCAACTTTTTTTAAAAGAGAAATGTTTAATCCATTATTAAAATAATGATTGACTTTCACAGTTTTATAAATATATCATATGAAATTAAGGTGCCTTACCATTTCAGATTTAAGATACATATTAAATAAGATACTACTATGGTCTTACATTGAACAATGTTTATGTTTTTCTCTTGAAATACATGCCTGGTATAATAAAGAGACAAACTGCCTCTTGTCCCCTTAAAAATTTTCATGATTACTGAGTAGTTTTGATATCCGACTGGAACCTTAAAATGTGCTTAGAACTTTTAGAACAATCAGATGTAGCTTGTGTGTATCAAGGATTTAAAACCTGGTTTAAATCAGCAGACAGGTTTACTATCTTTTGGCAAA